TTTACAATACATACTAGTATTACTAGCTACATCAAGTTAATAAATTTAAGCATTACTTATATATAAATTCTTATAGACAAAATATATAAACATTAATACATGGTTTGTTAGGATGACTGAGTGGTTTAAGGTGTCAAACTCAAGTTTTGATTTTTGTAAAAGGGCGTGGTTCGAATCCCACTTCTAACAATTAAATTTCTTTACCAAAAAAGAGTTTAAAATATAATAAAGTTTCAAAATTTATTTCTACAAAACTAATAACAGTCAATAATGTTAGACCCTTAACCGGAACAAAAAAAATGTCGATATAATTATTTCTTAAAATGAATGGTTCACATTATTTTGATTTTAATATTTTTTAATGATCTTCCTTATTTACCCTCTATTATATTATTCACCTCCCTTAAATAACTATAAATTATGTTAGTATAAACTTTAGTAACGGAATATTCCGTTAACTATTTATTATTCTTAACTTACTCATTAATTTCTATAAGAAAGATCTTAGATTTGAACCACATCTCAATTAAAATTGACCATGGTTGCAGTAGGCGCTAGGCGCTAGTCGGGCGCCCGGGCAGCGCCTAGCGCCTAAGCGGCCTAGTCGGCGCCTAGGCGGAATCTAGGCGGCGCTAGGCGGTCGCGAAAAAAACAGTAGCAGACTTGCAATTTGATAATTTTAATGAGGCTATTTTCAACATTCAATCAAATAACACATCCAAATAAATGACATAATGACAATTCATAAGTCATAACATCAAAAGAATATTAAAAAAAAAAAAAAAAACTCAAATGAAATACTCAAATACTTCAATCATCCAAAGATTGAAAGTATCAAACTAGTCTACGAGTGTATATATGTCATATTATATGTATATGTCATATAAATGGACAAAATTAGCAAGGTCGAGTCGGTCGGGTTAACTCGACTAACTCGACAGAAATTGACGAGTTAACTCGGTGTAATCGGACGAGTTAGGCGCTAGGCGGGCGCCTAGGCGGCCGGTCTCCTAGGCGGGAGCCTAGGGCGGAAATCGCCACGGCCTATGGGCGCCTAGCGCCTAGGCGCCGATTACTCGGTGCCTAGGCGGGATTTTTACAACCCTGAAATTGACATAATTGTTAAACATTACTACGAATATGTTAAAATGTATTTAAAAAATATAATATAAAATTTTCTTGCATTTAAAAAAAAAAAACCAAATTTATGTTTAAGTTTTTTTTTTTTTCTTTTCGTTTAATTAATCTTCTTTTGATTATTTAGAACAAAACTTAATATTCCAATTATATGATTTTAAATTATTGAAATGATTTAGGTCATTATGTTATTAATATTTTTTGTATGTATTTTTATTATGGTACAATTGTACATTACTTTACAAATATTATACTATTATTTTTTATCTGACACAATTGCTCTTATATCATTGTCAGACGAACGCGACCAGAATTTTATCAATGAATGAAAACTTCTAAAGAAATTTGTAAGTTAATTTTTACTATATCATTATAACAATATTTATTGTAACCATATATTTTAAATTATTTATTATCATCCTCTATTGATAGCAATTATTGCAATTGTCATTGACAAACTCTCAAAACAATTTGTCTCAACAGCGAATGAAAATTAAAAAAAAAAAGTGATTTCATTATTGTGGATGAAAAATATGTACGTCGCTTTATTACTCTTATTAAATTAAAATAAATTAGTAGCTACAACAAAAATAATACATATGCATCAAATTAAGTTAGAATTGGATGTCTATAATGTCTTTTTTTTTTTTTTTTTTTTTTTTTTTTAACTATTCATTATAAAAAATTTAAAAAGAGATATAATTTCATTAGTTATATTATCTTTATTTTCTACAATTCAAAGATTCCTTACCTTCAAATTTATTACTTTATTTTGTTCACTACATTCTTCATTGTCTTCTTTTTACATTATCTTGTAATTAAATAACAAAGTTATAATACATATATATATATATATATATATATATATATATATATATGTGTGTGTGTGTGTGTGTGTGTGTGTGTGTGTGTGTGTGTGTGTGTGTGTGTATGTGTACCAAGTATTGTATACAAATATAATAAATATTACGAGTAATATATTGTTCAATACTTTCACATGTAACCTACGACACACATCTCACATTATAACTACCACTACCAAATATCAACAGGTGATTGTAAGATAAAGAGTTCATATTACAACTAAGATCCCAGTCATATACACAACAAGGCAAATGTATAGCTTCCTACACCATAATTTCATTGCATAATGAATCCATCTATTTGCTACCACCAGTAACCCAATTCCACATGACACACTACTAACTAATAAAAAAAGAGAGGACATGTACTGAAGATGAAGACAATGACAATGGTACCAAAAAGAAAATTAAGAAGAATTAGAAAAATTTAAACCAAAAGTAGTATTTATTTAGACTATCGCTTTAAGACTAAGTATTTAGACTAGCGTTATTACAAAGTTGCAAACATTTATTTTAGTGACAATTATAATCAATCTCTCATATATTATCTTGCATTTATATACTTTAATAAATTACCGATTTAAATAAACAAATTTAACATTTATTTACCTATGCATAACCATCCCCTATATAATATTGCATTGATATACTTTGAAATATTTATTTAAAAATAATCATTGGACATTATCCTATTCGCGCAAAGCGCGTAAAAAAATTAGTACAAATCTAATAAGAGCCAATAAAGTTAGGCCTTAAGTTCATATTATTTTGATTTCATATTTTTTTTTTTGATTTTCCTTATTTGCCATATATTATATTTTTTTTCTTCCCTTAAATAACCCTCAGTATCTTTTTTCCTTATTTACCCTATATTATATCATTTTTTTTCTCTTAAATAACCCTGCATTCCGTTAGTATAAACTTTACTAACGAAATATTCCGTTAACTATTTATTATTCTTAACTTACTAATTAATTTCTATGAGATAAGTCTTAGGGTTGAACCCCATCTCAATCAAAATTGGGATAATTGTTAAACATATACTACAAATATGTTAAAATGTATTTAAAAATACAATAAAGTTTAACATAAACTTTGGTCAAATAATTAACCCCAATAAATACATAGCATTCAAAGTTGAACATCAAAGATTATAAATCAGGAACCTTGAAAATCATTTTTCTGCATTTAAAAAAAAAACAAATTTATGTTAATTTTTTTTTCATTTAATTAATATTTTTTTGATTATTTAGAACAAGATTCAGTATTTCAATTATGTTTTTGCATTATTGGAATGCTTTAGGTAATTATGATATTAATATTTTTTGTATGTATTTCTATAATGGTACAATTGTACATTACTTTACAAATATTGTACTATTTTTTTTATCAGACAAAATTATTCTTACATCATTGTCAGACCTGCGCGACCTAACTACAAAATTGTTGATCAGAAATACAATTACACTTGGATTCTAAAAGACTAAAACGGTATGACCATTTTCCAAAGAATTGACAATGTTGACATCCCATTGGCTCCAATTAAACAAGTTTACACATCATTCTCATAATTTTATCAATGCATGAAACTTTCTAAAGAAATTCGTAAGTTAATTTTTACTATATCATTATTATAACAATATCTATTGTAGTCATATATTTCGAATTATTTATTATCATCCGCTATTGACAACAAATGTAGCAATTGTCATTGACAAACTGTCAAAATAATTAGTCTCAACAACGAATGAAAATAAAAAAATTAACGACTTCATTGTTGTGGATGAAAAGTAAGTACCCCACTTTATTACTCTTGTTAAATTAAATAAATTAGTAGTTACAATAAAAAACAATACATATATATTTAATTAATTTAGAATTAGATGTCTATAATGCCTTTATTCAAAAAAAATTTATTCATTACAAAATAAAATAAATAAAAATATAATTTCATTAGTTATATTGACTTTATTTTCTACAATTCAAAGAGTCATTACTTTCAAATTCATTAATTAATTATATTCACTACATTATTGTCCATATATTGTCTTCTTTTTACATTATTTTGTAATTAAATATCAAAGTTATAATACAAAATATGTTATATAGTTATTTACCAAGTATATTTTTATACAAATATAATAAATATTAATATTTTGTTCAATACTTCACATGATAATCTACGACACACATCCCACAACACATGAAACATGTAAGGAAAAAAAACATGTAAGGGAAAAAACATGAAACATATAAGCACAAATACAAGTGAACCAATCCTAGTGTGTCTACAAAGTACTAAGACTGAAATGGTGCTCCTTCGATTTGAATACCCATCCGGATCTTCAACACATGATCTGCGCTTCAAGGGTCAACCACTAAGTGTCCTCAAGTAACAAATCACCAAACACACTTTAAGATAATGCGATTGTTTTGTTTGTTCCCACAAATAGGTAGATTGTGAATTTGGAAAATTAACATGTGAAGCTCAGGTTGCACTAGATATGAACGATGTAGCTTTGTCTCTCTCTTAGCTAGTACTTAGCAATGAAACACATCAATAGCGATAAACAATGGCACCATCAAGAACTAACAACCTTTTTGAGCTTTGAAGTCTTCTATTTATAGGATAGAGGTGAGAGCAGGTTGGTAATCTTTCATGAAATTCAAATTTTTTCATTATTTCTAGCGCGACAGGTGTCCAAATCTGTCACTAACTCCAACATTTTACAAATGTACTATTGTCCTTTTCCGTAACAGCTTTTGTCATTTTTTCTAGAAAATACATGCATCAATTATCCTTTTCTTCATCTAATGGCTGGGAGAATTTTAGATGTCTTCATCTCAAACTTCTGTTTGTATAGTATTTTTAAACAAACGGGCCTGTATGACCTATAAAGAGAACAAATAAACGCTTATTAGCCTAAAACTCAAACATTGGCCCAATAACATGAGCCCAAAGACAAAACATTTTCTTTGGTGTCATATTTATAAATCTCTAAACCCTAGCGTTATTACTTTCTCGTCTCTGGATAGAGTGCTGTGCTGATTGAGGCTATCGCAGATCCACTCTCATCAGCAGGAGCTGAGGTGCCCTTATTCTGTAATTCTATTTCCGCTCTTCTTCATACAAAAGACTTGATTTTTATTTTTTATTTTTCATGAAAACGCTTGTTGGTAGGAAATTTGGATAAGTTGCTGATTTCTTGTGAAAATGCTATGTAACTCTAAATAGTTCTTTCCGAATGTGTGTTCCTAAATGTGGATTTTATGCAATTGGATTTTGATTTTGTAAGTACTATGTGTTTATTGTCAGTGTCTCTCTATATGCTTCTGGAAAAAAAATGTATCTTTTCAATATTGTAATTTGCCCTTGTTGGTTTGTGGGTAATTGTTTGTTTTTAGATCTCTGAGCGATGTATACCTCAAAGACAAAAATCCACAAGGATAAGGATGCAGAGCCTACTGAGTTTGAGGAAACTGTAGCACAGGTTGACTCTTGTTAATATTTGATTTGATGATTCTATATTGTCTTGCTTTTCCCTTTTGTGGTTTAGATTGCACTGAAAGAGACTGCATAATGTTTGTCTTACCAGGCCTTGTTTGATTTGGAGAACACTAACCAAGAGCTCAAAAGTGACTTGAAGGACCTCTACATCAATTCTGCTATGTGGGTCTAATTTGTGATATGCCTTTAATTAGTGTTGTTAATGTTCTCTTTGTTTTATTTCTTACAACTTGCTGTTATTTTTCTTGTGTAGACAAATTGATGTTTCAGGAAGCAGGAAGGCTGTTGTGATCAATGTGCCTTACAGGCTGAGAAAGGCCTTCCGAAAGATTCATGTTAGACTTGTTAGGGAACTAGAGAAGAAATTCAGTGGGAAGGTATTGGTTCCGCTTTTCCTTTTTCTTCTGTGTTGTCTTGTGAAATATTTTTGCCTGTTCCAATTATTTGTTATAAAATCAACTTATTGTGTTGTCTTGGTCTAACTGAACTGCCTGTATTGCCATGTGGCCTCTCAATGATTATTGGATTGTTTTGCAGATCATTTTGGGACCTTTTTAACTTAAACAGTTGATTTTCTAACATTTACATGAACGTGTCTCTTCTTTATGTTCTTGTGACATTTTCTAGAACTTTGAAATCCTTTTTGCTTTCTATGTTCGTGTAGTGGAATTTCATTTGCTTTTAAGCGGCTGAAATTAGATATTATTTGATCACCGTGATTAGCTTGTCACTGGAGTTTAAATTATTATTACTAGGATGTTGTTCTGATTGCTACAAGAAGGATTGTGAGGCCTCCGAAGAGAGGTTCAGCTGTTCAACGCCCACGTAGCAGGACACTAACCGCTGTTCACGAAGCAATGTTGGAAGATGTTGTTGTCCCAGCCGAGATTGTTGGCAAGCGGGTTAGATATCGCCTTGATGGATCCAAGATAATGAAGGTAAATTTCTAGACAAATCTATGAACTTTTTCATGTCGGCTTAAACTGCATTCTAATTCACATTTGTCCACCCAATCCTCTTTGTGTTATTACCTAATGAAAATTCTTCGCTAATTTCTTGTATTTGTAGGTTTTCTTGGACCCAAAGCAGAAGAATGACACTGAATACAAGCTGGAAACGTTTTCCGCAGTCTACAGGAAGCTCTCGGGCAAAGATGTTGTCTTTGAGTACCCAATAACGGATGCTTAAAGAAATACACCTTAGTTTCCATCGTTTGTTATGTAAACTGGAAATTTGTAGTTTAATATCAAAATTTTGGTATTCATAGTGTTTGGTTAGATGGCAGAAAACTATATGGAGCCCATTTTGAGTTTTCTTGCTGAGATACTTGTAATGCCAACTTAAAGTTCCAGACATGTTCTCTATGAAAATTTAGTAGTATTTGCTGTTCAGAGTGGGTGAATTACATAGCACAATCTGTTCTCCATGCTCAAGTAGGCTTTTGAGCATTTAATATTTGAATCAAAATGTGCTTAGTTGAATATTGGCCCTGTTTGGTAAAAATTGGCCTATAGGTTAATTTTGGTTTATTTGACTACTATTAATTGTTTGATTTAGTTAAAAGATCTTTGGTTAATTAATTTTTTGCTACTCCAAAATGTTAAAATTGAAAAAGCTACTCTTAAGCAATTTTTTCAATTTTTTTTTTCATAAAAGAAATTATACCAGCTATTGTGAGCACATTGCCATTAATGTGCAATCCAACTATGAGCTTAGGCTTTTAGTTGAGATGGAGCACATGCTTCAATTTGGTATCAGAGCTAGACTAAAGGTCATGGGTTTGAATCTCAACGCCATTCATAAGCGTTACCGGTCCACGTGTTGCTTGGAACCCACTGCACACGTGAGGGGGCAACGCCATGCTTGGAACCCACTGCACACGTGAGGGGGCAACGCCATTCATAAGCGTTACCGGTCCACGTGTTGCTTGGAACCTACCGCACACGTGAGGGGGCGTGTGAGCACATAGCCATTAATGTACAATCCAACTATGAGCTTAGGCTTAGGCTTTTAGTTGAGATGAAGCACATGCTTCAATTGCTATATGAGCTAATAGCTAATTTATCAAACACTTTTCTACAACTAATGTTATCAATTAATTATACCCTCTAATTAACACAATCAATTAACATTCATTTACCAAATAGAGCCTAACATTCATTTACCAAAAAGAGCCTTTATGTTATTGAACATCTGTGAAGAAATATTAAAATTCTGAAAGTGTTTGGCATTTTTTGTTTTATCTTGGGTGATAATGGAAATCATAATTACTATTTGATGATGTGTGTGATTTTTATTGAATTAGTTCTTGTTGATGAGAGTTAAACATGATATCTTGTAGTTATTAAGGCAATAACTTGACTAATTGGACTAAGATTGTCTCATGTTGGATATTTTTTTTGGACATGATTAAGGGTGTTTTTGGTTCATACATGAGAATCAGAATCAAATACTTCGTAGTGAGAATGAGTTTTGGTGAAAGTATGGATTGGAATGATTATTAATATTAATGTTTGGTTATGTATGACTCTATAATGAAGGTTTTAAAAATACGAAAATAAAAAATAAGGCAATTGATCTTAATATAATGACATTCAAATCATTAATATGAACAAAAAAACATAAAAATTAAAAAGCAACTAATCCAAACTTAAAAATTAATTTTAGTTATAGGGATAATCAAATCTATAACTGTGTTTTAAAAAGTTATCTGTTATAAAACCACTATTTATGGACATTTATATTTGTAACGGAACGTAACAGATGTAACAGTTATATACATTTATTGTATTTATTACATTGAGTCCTTTATATTCTGTACTCTTGTAACTAAAGATTGAGGCTAATGAGAATACAACATTCATCTCACATATATCTCTACTCCTTTCCTTTGCTTTTGTTCTTCACGCGTTCGCCAAACTCAAGGAGGCTAAGGCCAACTAAACTGCAATACAACACGTTATCAGCGCTTTGCTCTACCAGATTCATCTGGTTCAACAATTTGTTGCGTTCGATTGTATAACAATTCTGCATTTCCTCGGCAGTTCGCGAGGCGGCCAATGTCCCGACGAACAAAGAAATACTCCGTACATGGATCGGAACCATGGTCATCTTCCTAAGCGACTCCGCCCACCGCCCGCGACTCCAAATCGCGCCGTCGGGGTGTTACGCTGTCCTCTTTCGCGATCCGAAGGCTCCAGGCAGGCGATGGTGGTTCGCCGTTGTCCGGAATCGTCTCCAACCCCAATCCGCATCATCACCAAAATCAGTTGGCCGATCGACAACCTGCTGCGATTCCTTCGACCGCGAATTAGTCCTCAGCTATGGAGATAGTTCGGACGATGGAGACTTCGCAAGGGCAATCGGAGGTGGTAGCTGATCAATTGCGATCGTCCGAAGTCGTTTTGCCGGCGGGAGATCACCGTCGCTTACTTTCTGTAGTGCGGACGTCGTCCGCGACCTTTTTCCACAAACCCTAGATCTCCGTCTCTAATTCCGACCATGGCGACCGATCGAGGCTAATCCCGAGAGACAGTGCATGGCTGGCCATGGCCTTGGTCTCCGCCGATGCATCGATCGCGACCGTGAATGGTGGTCGTGTCTCTGTTGCGGATACTCTGTCGACAGATGTTGGTGGTAATCTGCTCTTCAAGGTATGGTCTCTTTGGTTAATTCTACAGCTGAGAATAATGCTTTCAATCCACTAAATGTTGGTAATGTGGCTGGGAATTCTGCTGTTCATATGGCTGTTTTTCGAGGCCATAATCCTGGCCAAAGTACTCGAACCACAGCACCAACACTTAGTAATTTTGCTGCTAAAATTAATAATGCAAGTGATGTTTTTCCTGTGCATTTAAGTGGTCACAGAAATGTTTTGCCTACTGCTCATAATGATGCTTCTGTGAGTTGTGATACCACTTCTAAACTCTAATTCCCTAAGTGTTGGGCAACTTGGCTATGGCTCTTTTTGTTGTTTCTAACCAATTTGATGAAGGTAATATAAACTAAAAATGTGACTGGAGGGAAAGTGACATGAGCCAGACAACAAAGAAATCTGTTGAGTGCTAAGAAGGGGCACAGAACCAAATGGCCAAATCTCTATCGACATTTTATGTGCCACTCTATATCATCGGTGAATGGTATGCTTCCCTAATATTTAAATATTGATTACAAAATGTTTGTGGAAACGTAAGATTTGTCATTCGTGACATTACTATATATGCTGCGTTAATAGATATGAAATTGCATATATATGTGCGTGAATCATTTGTATATATGTATGCAAAGTTTGGAATATGAATTTTCAATCTTTGTTTTTGTGCAATACATGTATGTTCTGTAACTTTGGATTTTAGATGGCATCCACTATCTTAATCATGTATGCAAGCGAATGCAATATTATGTAATTTATGCATGCAGCATATATTTCTGTGACAGTTGATGCGCAAGTAAATTGGAGATTAAAATTGTCTTGGTGGCATGATTAAAATAAGAGTGATTATTTTTGTTGATAACAGATTGCTCAAAATGAGTAATCACAAAAGAGCATTTATCGGTTTGCCTCTGATGATACCAATTATTTGCTATAGGCCATATCTTAAATCTTAAACATAGCATTGCCCAGAAGGTGAATTCATAGCACTAATTATATGATAATAGCACTAGGACAATTTCTATGACTAATGTCAAATTGACTTAATTCTGATTTGGAAGTCCATGATTATTTGTCCAAATTCATGCACATTGATGGTGCTAGTTTTTATCATAAAATTATATGGCATGAGTCTTGAATCTTGAATATCTCAAATCTGAGTACCAAAACAAAATAATAGTGCATATTTTCAATATAGTTTTGTCCAGAAGGTAAACACTTAGAGCACTAATATTTTTTTTGACACCTTTTGGTCTAAACCATCGGTTATGAATATTTGACCTAAAAGGATCTATAGACCCTAAATCAATCCCGGAAGGATATTTGGTGTACGCGGGTCTCATTGTCATCTATGATGGTCATATTGTACTCCAGTAGTAGTACATGACAAAATTATGCTAAGTGTTTGGTCATTGAGCTATTTTTTTTAATAAGGTCTGGAAGACCCTGATGTGGATTGATCTTTAAAGTGACTAATGACTTATGAATGAAGTTTGCAACTTCTATTTCTAATGCTATGCTCCTCTCCAAAAGTCAAAATTGACTACATCATGCTGGTTTGCCTGAAGCAAACAAATTATGAATATTTTTTCACATAGTAATCACTGCTTGAAAATTCTGACCGGCGCAATTTGAAAATTAAATTAGTGAAAAATACTTCTTGAACTCCTTTTGGCATGAAATTTTTTCTGGAGAACCTAGACTCGTGATATTTGATGTCTGTAAAAAGATTTTGTTAAAAATATGCTTTCGTTATTCCAGAAAAATTTGTAAAGTTTTGGCAATGTGCTGCCAATTATTTTTCTGCCTGGAGCAATGTAAATTTCAGGAAAAATACTTTTAGACCTTGGATTTCCATGAAAATGTTTGTGTACGTTCCAGACTTGATGAACTACATATCTGAAAAATTTTGTGCCAAGATGTGTTACCATTTTTTCCCAGAAAATTCAGCAATCCAGGTCAAAATTCTGAAAATTTCTGCTTTTTTCAGCTTGTATATCTTGCTATTTTGTGATGTTTTCATGCTTGTATGAAACTATGAGATAAAATGAGAGCTTGCTTGGAAAAGTACTGGTTTTGACTCCCCGAAATAGGAATAAACACTATCAGAAATTCAATAATTTCCAGTAGTGGAATGGGCCCGGCAGCGAACATGTGCTCATTATTCTTCGGCGAACGCTACTTCTCTCATTTTTCTAATTTATGAATTAATAAACAATGTCTCTTGTCATGTCATACCTTGTGTGTACCAAACATGATATTCTTTATTTAATGGATGTGCATGACTCAATTGAGAGTTTGGTGTCCAAGACATAAGGGACAATTATATCACATGTTGCATGTGCTTCTCTTTAATTGACAACATTTAGCATATAATCTCTTGATTATGTTCACATAAGAGATTTTGTTATTTATCTTGTTGGCAATTTATGATTTGCTATAGGCCATAGCTATTGAAATTCATCACACAACTTATAAGTGAGGCAATAGCATGAATGCTCAATATGGTTAGGTTGCACCTGTCGTTGCTAAACCTTAGCTTGCATGTGATAATAGTTAAAGGCTATGACTTGTTTACAATGCTAGTTTCTGCTATAGAAACTCTTTGACATGAGATTTGGCAATATGATATTTAAATTTATAGCCCTCACTGTTTTGTATATTTATTTGCCCAGAAGGTAGATTAAGGACTTTAATTCTATGAGTCACCCTTTAGGATGAACCTTGACGATAAATTCT